TTTACAGGAGTTGTGGTTTAACATAAATTCATCCAAGATTCGTGATCTCTCAGGAAGGTATGTCTGATGTGACTTAACGAGGGGCAAAAGACTTCGCTCTCGGTAATTCGTAGTTAACTGTTTACAAATCCTAGTGTAGGTTTTTCTAGGTCTAGTTTAGCTTCGGTTGTGTGAATTGAGAAGGTTCATATTTTTTATGTAGACGCGAACATATTAACTATCTACTCAAACTTACTTAATAGGCAGAATGAGCCTTGGGAAATTGGAACGTTTGTCATGGCATTGATCACTAAAACGACTATCTTTCATCCCTGCAGTTTGGCTCTTCGCTTATAGAGATCATTTTCTAATTTTTTTAGTGCAAAATTCACAAGGATCACCTTTTGTACACAAAGTCCATGCATGCATGCAAATCTTGTATTTCATTGAAAATAAGGAGTTTATTGACAATGTAGGGCTCGACAATATTATGGACAATAGTCATGAATAAAGTGTCACTCTCACGCGGTCCTTGCTTTATGGTGATTGTTAAAGATTATTGAGATCATTCTATGTGATTCAAGCTTCGCTGTTATCTTGTCGATGGAAGAATAACGCTTCCTCGTTCATTCTGGCTGCACAAGAAGTGTTGTTCCATCATTTTTTGCTTTTTTATAACAGCACGAGATGGAAACTTTTCACTAGAGGGCTACGGAAACTTACTGAAATCCAGATAGTTGCGCACTAGTATATGACCCATTGCCATGCCTACAGGAATATCCAACTTCGACCACTCACCGTAAGCCAATGGCCGTTATTTCTCGGAATCCTGTTCAAAGATGTGTTTGCATACCCAAGAGGTTTTGTCTGGCAGAAATGAGCTTCGTATTATCATTCTAGGTATAAAAGAACAATCAGTACCGTAGCAATTGCAATGGAAATTGGATTAGCCATTTCAACAGATATGCAGCAAGTATTTAGGTAAACCTTTCGACAATTGTAGTGCAATAAAATTCAGGTGTTTTAAGTTATTCGGCGTCAATAATGAGTATTCTGCACGTTTGACCGATCCCGGGAGGCATGAAATCTAGTGAAGTGAATTTCAAAAAAGCGCTATCAAAGCCGTAGGCCTCGTAACTAAACTGGTGTAGCGTGCAGTGTACGGAGATGTGAATAGTGTTGGTGTGCAGGTTCGAATCCCCAAAAGGCTCTGGATCTTTGCAGATTCGCATTGATCTTATCGGTCAGTTCACAATACTATTGGCATCGTAAGAAACCTCAAGGTGAACAGTCATTTGTAACATGGGTTGAATTTTCCTCGACTGAATTGAGTCAGTTGATAATCCGGGATAGCATTCGAAACGCTGAGACCCTGTCATATGAAAGCACACTTGAATGGTTCCTTTTGTCACCCATCACAACGGAGGTAAATGGAGTAGAATCACTCCTGCTCGCACGTCATGACTTCCAAAGGAATCACTGTTTGCTTTTCCGCGGAATGCGCGTCTCGATTCTTGATTACTGTCAGGATCTCAACCCCAATTAGAATCATTATTCCAATTGCTGGCCAGCGAAGTATATCCAACTGAACTGAGAAAATATTGCTACAATTTGTAAAATCCCTGATTAGCGGTATTCAGAAAACCTTTATTGATGTTTGAAAATAGACAAAAAGAACTATACTGTGCTTAACTCGTATTAATTATGCGAGGGCTAGATATAATCATAGTTGTTATTTGTATTACAAGCTCCTCAGTCTACTGTTTTCAGTTTTTTATTGACCGTTGGGGTCTGAAAGACTATAACGGGTTGGTTGGAGACAAGGGTATGGCAGCTAACAGTAACGTTCTTGTTGTCATTTCTTATCAGGCCAGAATGCTTGAGACGGTATGTATGCAGAGTTCAGTTGTGTACTCTGTGTCTTCCTCAATCTGAAAGTGACTTTCGACTCAGTCAACCGCTCTAAACTCTGGCGCTACCTTTCCCTGAAGGGAGTGCCCGAGAGGTTAATTTCAATGTTACAATCCCTCTACAATAAGAGCCGAAGCCGAGTTCGAGCATACGGCACTTTTTCACCTGAGTTCACCACGGAGAATGGTGTTCGACAGGGTTGCCCTCTCTCTGCTTTTCTATTTAACTTTGTTGTAGATTTGATTATGGAAATAGCCCTATCCTCTTGCGAGGATAGCGGCATCGATCTACTTCCAAGTGTCAGACTGTCTAATCTACAGTACGTAAACGACATTGTGCTACTAAGTGAAGATTCAGGTAAGTTGCAAGCTTTTCTGGATAGTTTGAGTGCTAGCGTAGCGATTTTCGGTATGCGCTTTGCACCTTCAAAGTGTAAAATGCTGCTCCAAGATTGGGTTGGCCCAGTCCCCAGCCTCACCCTGACCGGGGAAGTTGTAGAGGAAGTAGACAAGTTTTGCTATCTGGGCAGCTATATCTCACCTGGCGGACGCATCACAGATAAAGTGTTGGCGCGCATACAGAAAGCTCGGTTGGCATTTGCCGACTTGAGACATCTGTGGCGCCGTCCGACATTCGGTTGTCAGTGTGTAGGCTCGAGTATAGGCTACAGCAGTTAGGCCCGTTTTGTTTTACAG